GTGTGCAGCGGACCAACTGTTGACGTCATCTCAGCTAGACACGTCCACGCACAGTAACTGGAATCATACGCAATGACGCTGCGAAGATTGAACGGAAGTTAAGTATACAATACTGGCGCAACACTCATCTAGAAGTCACCCCACCAAACGGACAGTGGAAACGTAGTCTTTAGAGAAGACCTCACTCCTCTGATTGGAGAAACAAGAGCTAATAAAATGGGCCTGACAACTGTAGAGTGTAACCTTGTGCAAAACCGGCGCTGGGGAGGGCGGGGGTAGCACTGGAGCCCTTCCTAAAAGAAAACCTATTCCAAACACAACGCATGACGTCCCCTCTTCTGTGCCCCCCCCCCCCCCCGACGGAACGCGATTGTTGTCTCTGCGCCCCCCCCCCCATCACATAGTAAAAAAATAGTGAGACGTCCTTGAAGACACTTTAAGAACACCCCCGGGAACCGTCAATTCGATAAATAAGCCTGATCTGCTCCCAATCGCAATAAAGAGTTGCATGGTGTGAGTCACGACATTGAAACTGCATCTCAGACAAATGCCGATGAACCTAAAGAACACAGGTGTCATCAAAAGCGCCATTCACCATTCACCTAAACTATTGTATTAGCATCACAAGCCAACAAAATGGGCTAACTGAATGATTGTCGCAACCAAAAAAGGACAAATGTGAGTATTCATCCACAAGTGCTCGAAGCTCCATAAAGAATATGTCATGCATTAACCACTGTTTATGATGTTCTACTATATCTTGCTAAAGCCCAAGTTTTCTCAGAACTGAATTTTCAAGAGGGGGTAATCGATGACGAAGCAAGCTTGCTGACCACCTTACCAACTCCGAAAAATTGTTACCGATCGCTCCAACTGCCATGTGGTCTCGCGCTAAGCAGCAAAATATTCCAAAATACCGTGTCCTCAGAATGGGCGACACTGAAAAAGATGCTCAAGTAGACCACGACAAGAAGCTGAAGAACCTGGTTCAGAGATGCCGACGAATTGGGATATGTCTCAACAAGGATTGAAACGCAACTTCTAGTCACATGAGTCATTTTCCTAGGACACATGTTACCAATGTGATCCAAATAATGTCAAGGCGATTCCGCAGATCGCAGATGCCAAAGACAATCAATTTCAAGGAGTGCAGTGCTGATTTGGTATAATGAACTGCCTCTCGATACTTCTACGGATATTGTCACGCGTATTGATGCTTTTGAGGGAACTCGCTGTCAAGGATGCACCATAGCAGACGGAGAAGCTGCAGGAGGAAGCATTCGATAAGGCATGAGTCTGTGACAAGAGCTCCAGTTGTAGCCTTTCTTTGAATAATGAAATCAGCTAGAAATCCAATGTGATGTGAGCTATTTTGGACTCAGAGCAGCTCTTCTTTAAAATGGACAGCAAGTATTCCTTGTCAGCAGAGCGCTGACTACAATGGACGTTCGTAATGCACAGAGAGAAAATGATATGCTGGCCGTTGTCTTTGCCTTAAAAAAGTTTCGTGAGTATACATTTGGAAAAAAAACAAAGATATTGAGCGATTACAAACCACTGAAGCAAGCTATTCTGAAGAAACGATTGGATCAAGCTCAAAAATGACTGCAAAGCATAATCCTTCAGAAGCAAAACACAACATTAAAATTGAACGCAGACCAGGAAAGCAATTAGTTCTGGCTGACATGATACCTAGGGATTTCATTCCCAACGAAAGCAATGAAGCGGAAATTGAAAACATCCATGTCATGCAATACGTCAACGTTAGAAAGAAAACCTTGGAAACAATGAAAGCTGTGACTGAAGGTGATGATTTACTGCAAAGAATAAAGTGAATCTTTCTTCCGTGCTAGCCACAAGACAAACATGAACTGACCAAAGGCATGAGCTAGCTTATATTTAACACACAGAATGAAGGGCTTCTGCAAAAGTCATTTGCAAGAATCAAGGTTTTATGGTGGTGAATTAACTCAAAATCAGCCAGGGCACCAAAGTACACCGCCATGACGGCAGGTTCTAAGTAGCCACATTGTTCCTAAGAGTGGTCTGGACCACTCTTAATATTGTCTTTTAGCCACGTTGATTTTACGCGAAATTTTGCTTCGTGAATCTGCTTACGAGCACTTTTCGGTGACGTAAGCTAACATAGCAACTGCATCACCATCGCCGACATGTTCCCGGGCAGTCACAGCGCGCTTTATTGCAGCGGCCGATGTGACAACGATGGCCTCTTACGACGTTTTTTTTAGTTTCGTGAATCGACTTACGCAACAAAATTTCTCTTGCGCAAAAATGTTTTCGTAACTGAGTTTTATGAATCTGGCCCCTGATTTGCAAAAAATTACACCTAATTATTGTACCATTTTTGTTAGGTGAAGCAAAGTGAAACTCAAGACAACGCCTCTTTGAATTGAGAGCTGTCTGCAATGCGCTCGTGAGTATGTCTTCTGGACAGGAATGAACACAGAATTGGAACAATTCATCATGATGTGTGAAATATGCAAAAAGTATGCACAAGCCCAGCAAACAGAAACTCTCACACCATACATAACCAAGCTGTTTATGCGAACGGGTTAGATGCAACAAGTTTGAATTCTAGGGAAAGAATGCTTTGGTTACAGTCAATTATTACAGCAACTTTTGGGAAGTGGACAAAATCAAATAGATGGTCTCGAACCAAATGATACTGAAATTAAGGACTCGCTTTGCAATGTACTGGGTACCGAGAATTCTGATAAGCAGCAACGACCTGTCATTCACAAGCAAAGAACTCCAACACGTCACGAAGAGCTGGAACTTCGAACACAAAACCTGAAGCTCGGGTTACCCGTGTGCTAATGAAAGGGCTCAATCAGGCGAAAAATCTCTCTAAAAAGCACAAAGAAGCCACTAAAACCCACAAATGTCATTTGTTTATCAATGAAACACACCATTCAAGAACAGAATGGCAGTCCAGCACAAGTGTCAATGAGTTGCCACACTAAAATGACTGTGCCGACAGCTTCACAGTTACTGCAACGCGGAACAGGCGATGGGAGTGAAATAAGAGTGCAGAAGAGGCGAAAAATCACGAGCTACTATCAAAGACAAGTCAAGGACTTGCCAAGCCTTAGAAAGGGTCAGTGGATGTCTCAGTTCAACGAACAAAAAGAAAAGCATGGGTGAAAGACAATAATTAGCAGAATAGACTACCAGTCAGATGAAGTTCAGATGGAAGACAGCATCCTGAGAAAGCACCGAGTACTCAACTGGGAAAACCGTTTCTCAGACCAACACATTGAATTCAGTCTCAGTTCCTCAGACCAACACATTGAAGTCAGAGACTGATCAACGTAAGCAGACTGGAACTTTTGCCGGACCTCCAAATAACCATAAAGCCTGCAAATAAGCTTCTGAATTTCACTTTTGGTTGAATGATTGAACCTAGAAAAGTATGGATGTATCAAGAAAGATCCACACATGCCACAACTTCATTTGCAGCATCTCACAGAAGCTACATGCTTCTTTGGAATTCTCCGGTTCCTCCTTCTCTGAGAAGGCACTGCGTCCGGGCAAGTTGGAATTGATCCGTAACTTTTGTAAGCGCTAAATGCACGTACAGCCGTCACCACCTTTAACACGAACGCTCCGCCGCGTGTCATGCAACAGTTTGATTGATGCTGACACCACATAAGTTTAGATTGTGTTGCCAAGATTCTAACCATACATGCGGACATACTATTCAAGCCCACCGAGGTATTATCTCGGCAAAAGGGCCCATCACTTCGTGACTGGCATCAATCAAACTAGCCCTGGCCACGCATCGAAGTGTTCGGGTTGAAGGTGCTGACAGCTGTACATAAGACGAGCGAACCCCTTGTCCTGTGTCCTTCACTCATCTCGCGTACGAGCATTTAGCACTTACAAAAGTTACAGATGCCCCTTTTCCGTTCATTCCACCTCCTCCTCTTTTCCAAGCTCACGAAGTATCAAGTGTCTGCCCCTCCGACTCTGCTCGTGGGCCGCTCCCCCACCTGCTTCTCCCTTCTGCATTTGTGCCTGTATGTAGCCCTACCCATTCTTGTACTTCAACGCTTATTCAACGCGGCGCTGACGAAACCATCGAACATACCTTGTGTTAGTGCCCTCAATACAACTGTCAAAAACAGTACCTGTCAGCAGTGTTAACACGCCTCGACGACAAGTCGCTCTCCGAAAATTTTTGGAATGCCGGAAAGAACAAGGCTCACGCCGAAAAGTGATGAAGGCCCTCCTAAAGTTTCGGCGATCGACCCGCCTCGTTGAACGTTTGACATTCCAGTGTGTGTGTGTGTGTGTGTGTGTGTGTGTGTGTGTGTGTGTGTGTGTGTGTGTGTGTGTGTGTGTGTGCGCGTGTGTGTGCGTGTGTGTGCGTGTGCGTGTGCGTGTGTGTGCGTGTGTGTGTGTGTGTGTGTGTGTGTGTGTGTTTTCGCTGTTATCCCGCTCTCTTTCTCGCATTCCATTTTTCTTACTTTTGTGTCTCCCATTACCCCTTCCGCAGCGCAGGGTATACATCAGATAGTTGCTTTCCGGTTAACCTCCCTGCTTTTCTTCATACCATCTCTCTCTCGAGCGAATAGGCACATGACGTTGCCTTACTTTAGTCACGTGAGTGTTGCGTGATGGTACATTATTTTAGACAAGATACGTGGTTGTTTGACCCATAACCAGTTGTTACGTGGTCTTACGTTACTTCCTAGTAGACGCTCAATCATACTGACTGTATTTCATGTCAAACGAAAATAGGCGCACGTGTTGTGAAGCGCAGTAGCTAAAGAGTACCAAGTGAGTTGATGATGATAACTACTATCTGGCCGAACAAAAATACCATAAAAATATTGTGTTGGTGGAATAGCATAAAAACTCCTATGGTGCAGCCTCGTATACCCATGACTATAGCCGGTAATTCACTGCCTCACCATTCGCCAGCCTTGTGCCGTAGTTAGCCTCCAACCCGAATTCACCAAAATATGCCCGCTTACCTTCAGGGCCTCCACGAGCTGCACCTTCTTGGCCAGTATCAGCTGGTGTTCAAGTTTTGGGTGAATCATTCGCAGTGTATGTGCTATGCTCTCCTCGTTGAATTCTGAAACGATATCCCAGTAACCCTTTATAGCCACACTAGTGCCTATAATCATATGATCAAAAACTTGCAGCAAGCACCTGCCTCGAACACCTATCAGCGCTGAGTGACTATCAACCTTGGCCAGGATAAGCACTGAGTTCCAGATTAATTTAACCTGCTTCATTTCAAATGACAAACACTTGAACGAACCTCCATCTTGCGCGGAGTGCTTTTCGTTTGTATTCGAATGAATATTTTAACGTAGTGTCAGTAATCATCTTATTGAATGTAAACAATATAGTGTACATGTAGGAAATAGGAACTTCATTTTTACATTTTACCTGAGTTGTTACGCCTTCAAATATAGATGAGAGCCCACAAATGAAAACAGAGTCCGGGGATATTCAGGATGAACAGTGAAGTGCCTCAGACTAGTTGACCGAGGTTTCGATAGGATGACCTATCTGTTTGAAAGGCGCCATGTCATTCTTGGCGTGTTAGTTTTAGGGGTTAGTGGTGACGTCATCTGCGTGTGGTGGTGCATGTCCCTGTTGATAATCGCCGTCTGAAAAGCATGAAAACTATAAAGCAGAAAGGTGCAGCCCTAGCTTCACTTCAAAACAGGTGGTAGTAATTTAAAAATGTTCTAAGAGAGGGGAAAAACACGCAAAGTTGGAGCAGTGTGCAGCAAAAGTGGTGGCCGCTTCAGACGCGAAAAAACGAAAGAGTTCAAAGCTTCGGAGCCAGCAGGCGGTCCCTGCGTCCGCCTACCACAAAGGGTTACCAACATTGGCGGTGTATGCCGGTTCCCGAACGCCTATGTATGGGACGTACAAGAAAGCAGTTACATATGGAGAAGCAGATGGCGTACTTTTAAACTCCAAGGTGTCGAAGGCAAGCGGTACGGGATGGGGTCTGAAGTACATTTTTGAATAACTACCACCTGACTTGAAGTGAAGCGAAGACTGCACTCATCTGCTTTGTAGTTTTTTTTGCCTTTCTGACGGCGACTATCAACATAGACACGCGCCATCACCAGGATATGACGTCACCACTAACCCCTTTAAAACTAACAGGCCAAGGATGACACAGCACCTTTGAAAAAGATATATCCTCCTATCAAAACGACGGCCAGCCAGTCTGAGGCACTTCCACTGTTCACCCTGATTTTCCCGCTACGTATTCGAATACTAGTACGACTAGTCTCTTGAAGAAATAAACCATCACGTAGCCTCCTTATGCTGTTTCCAATAGTTGCTTTCGTCGTTTGACAGGATCTCGAGCTGCGAATCGTGGCGCTTAACACTCTTTTCAGCGGAGGTGTCCCGGTGCTGCACGGACACTGGCGGCGTAAATTGAGTTTTGCAAGTTTTCACTTTGCTCTTCGTGGCAGCCGCAAAGAAAATATCTCGTGGGAGCTATACTAAGGTACAAGAATTGTATACGCAATCAATCTGCGAGTATTTATGAATATCTCTTGCTAATTCAGTGATTACGAAAAGATTTGACCCAATATGCAGTTGAACAAGTAACCCTGCTGTTTCACTGTTCTAATCACGTGCGTTTAGTTTGGAAGCGAAGACATTTGCCTAGTTCACTTGGCCTAGTCAGTCATCGTTGTCTAGATAAGTAGACCCTTTCCCAATAAAAAAGGATATGCACCGTTCCCTCGACTGGAACGGTGGTACAAAAGCGGGGACCAACCGGAAACCATTGGGCACGAAGCGTAATGCGGAGAGCGCTGGGATCGTTGTCAATTGCCAAGTTGGGGCCCGTCATTCAGACGTTCCAGTGACAGCGAGACTTCCATTGAACCATTTCTTATATGAGCACTCACAGACTACCAAAGTCGTCAATTCGCAATTTGCGGCTATTGGATAGCCATGCAAAGAGTAGCATCGTTATGGGCTAAAGTGGCTGCTTCCAGGGCAAGTTAGTATAGGAGAGGCAAAGAGGACACATGCAGCAGCGCTGCCTTACAACAAAGGTTTGGTGATGATATTGGATTTGTTTTTGCTGTAATTTTTATATATTCTTTTAATTTAATCGCCCATGTATATAGTGCGTGCTTTAATGAATAAACTTTAACGCGAGAGCATTAAAGAGGTTGTTTCGCAGCAACAGTGCCGGCGTCGGCATCAGCTTCCTTGGTTGTGAAGAAAAATCATCATGTTGTGCGCGACTGCAAAAAAAATCGCTAACATGCAAATAAAATAAATTATAAAAACTTTTGGGTCTAAGTGGCGTCGAAATTCGTTCCACTGCCTCACAAGCATGTATTCCCCCATGCATCTAAACATCTGCTTGTGAATTCAGTGAAAGGTACTTAATCGGCTTGAAACTGATGTAAAACTAACATTCATGCTTTACAAACACACAAATCCTGTACCTATGACTCACAACAAAACATGACATGTAATAATGCGCGGTACAAGTGTACATTGCCATCGTGCGGCAGAAGATGCGATTACCATAAGAACTTTATGGTTTAAAGGCCCTCACACACTACAAAAGGCACACAGGTCACTGCGTCTTTGTGGCCCCGTAGTGGGTTCATAGCAAGTTCAGAAAAATTTCATGCCTTAAGTGTTTGAGGTACGAACTAGGGGCAGAATATCGCTATCGCGTTAAACTCCTAAAGGCGAAGCCTAAGGATCCCCAGTCCTTTCGTTGTAAGTCAGCGCTGTTGTATGTGTCCACATATGCCTGGTCTTACGTCTTTCATGGTGTTTTTCTCCATGAGATATGAGGTGGGATTTGGTGCTGAAGATATGAATAAGGAATGATTTGATGGTGTGGGGCAGAAAATCAGGTTGGGTGAAAGTATGAAAAGTATGACTTGCACGCTATCTTTTAGAAAAGTCATCCGCTTGTTCGTATCACAAATCCAGAAGGAAGCACCTCAGAAGAAAAGCTTAAATTCCAGTGGCAGATGGACTCTGCGAGCGAGCGCGTCCAAATCCCCGACACAATTTGCGCCACCGGAGGGAGGAAGCGGAAGTTGCCGGAATACCTTGCAGTCATTCCATCACGCCATTCCGTGCTGGAATAGGTGGATAGCAAATCGTGGCTCACGCAAAGGATTGCAGGCTACGGCACCCGTCTGCATCAACTTCCAGTTCGAGGTTCTGTGTTGCCGTACGGGGGTTCCTGCTTCTGTCATCACTTTCTACGTAGCGAAGGTCTATTGGCAGCGCTGAAGTCTCTGTTGCATGCGGCAGATGTGTGCTTAGATTTTTTTTAATCTGTGAGGAGCTCCATGTAGCTTCGCTTTTTCGGCATATCAGCTATAAACTTTTGGTCATCTCAGTGCTAGTATCAACGAAAACGGTGGCCATTTCACTCATAGGGCTTCCGTATTACCTGCTGGCATGAAATGAGGAAGAGGCGGCCAGTGCACACCTTCAATAAATGCATCATTACTGAATGCAGCTATGTAGAGAGGGCTCATGCACAGCCCAATGCAGCCTGAACAGTATTGAGCTTGCTGATAATTCCCATCCACGCTTGTAGGCGGGCAAGCTCCGCATCTTGCCGCACTCTACAAATACGCCGTGAGGCAGTGAAAAATCCTCGGCACATTGCCGGCAAAAGTTTCGGAACGTCGAGTGGTGACTTAACAACACCACTTCCGATTAGCAACAGGTCCACGCGAATGACGTCACTGTCATCGAAGTGCTTTTCCCACACGTGCACATTCGAGGAAACAAATGTGAAACTACGAGTGTCTTTTCACGGCATTGCGCTCTTACAGTTTTCCTGTCTATCACTGTCGGCAGCGAGAACTCGTAGACTTGTTCGCCATTTCTTTTGTAAACAGATCGACAACGAGATATCCAGCAAGTACATGGTATCCTTCCGTACCTGCAGGCACAGCACACTAAGCACAATAGCAATCATGCGGTGAAAAAAAATGGCAGCATATCCACGGAGTGAATGATGGGGAGTGGGGCGAAGCATTCGTCCGTCCATTCGTTCTTGCTTCCGTCCGTTCCTGCGTACGTCTGTGTAACCGTCCATGCGTCCATCCACCCGTCCGTGCGTGCGTCTGTTAGTGCGTCCGTCCCTGCGTTCGTCCATGCATGCGCACCTGCGTCCCTTCATGCGTCCATCCATGCATCCGTCTGTGTGTCCGTTCGTCCATCTATTCAGCACTCCAAGTACCACCATCTCGCATCTTTTCATCATATATTCTCCATATAGAAGCACCGCCATCCAGCGGACATTTCAAGGACTAAACGGGAGGTGGCACATGCACACTTTCTTACGGCTTGCGCTTCGGGTTTACTTCCCACCTTTAACCACCTCGAGTTCATGGTATATACTAGTTCACTGTATTCATGGCTATGCGGCCCAACGCTCGCTAAACCTTTCTAAAACCAAGGAGGTTACACCCAGCGAGTATAACGTAGCAACCCCTTCTTGTCAGATCATGCTCAATGTACATGCCCATAGCTGCGAATGGGGATCGCAGCGAGCGCGTTACCTAAAGGCCGAATGCTCCTGTCCCTCATTCCCCCTTAGCAGCCATTAACATGTGCATTGAGCACTATCTTTTATTGTTCAACAACGCGCAGAAGAAATCTCTCACCGGAACCACCTTGGAGGTCAAAATCGTAAGGACCGCTATTTCGGGTATGTGCCACTGGTGGTTACGTACTACGAGGGACGCACAAGCCACGCCATAAGGAGCTTCGCCCCTAAAATTAAGCGATGGCACGCCACGATATTACGGCCCCGTATTCACAAGCCAACCTCGGCTTTACCTCATCTTTTCCTCAACTTCCTGTACTCTCCACATGCGTTATAAAGACACGAAAATGGCGACAGGCTGAAAGATAATGAGAAGACTGGTTCGTGTATACTGGTCCAGCTTGTTTATCATACACAATAAAGGTTTAAAACCAATAAGGAAAACTCGAGGAAAGTGTGTTGTTTGTTTGTGAATACGGGCCTATGCTTTGGCCCAATAGCGGCACCAGCAGCCAGATTCCATCCGTGCTGCCTGATGCCCAGCACTAGGGAGCCTTCATGTGCGCGCATCTCCGCGTTTTAGGGTGGCGACAACTTCGATCATGGTTGCTTACAACTGGCTGAAACGGCCACCATACTTGACGGACCGGCACGTTAGTTTTGAGCGGTCACGCATTTAAATTGAAGGCAGAGAAGGGGGTACTTTTTTAAAGGCGATAGTCTTTCTTGAGGACCTTCGATGCCAAAAGTTTGGTCTGTCTGTCTGTCTCTCTGTAGCATTGTCTTTTTTTACACTCTTTACGGCACTGGGTAATTGAAACGGCCGACCCCATCCGCAGCGACCACGAATGTTGTTCAAGGTTCAGTGTTCATACTTGTGCAATCGTAAAAAAACAATTATTGCGCATGTCTGGGGCACCACAACAACACGTATATATTCTGCATGTGCGTATTTCACTAGAAAGGCATACATAGGTAATTTCAAGGAACATAGCGCTTGTCACGCTGCACTGACCATGCAACGTTTGCACAAACAGGCGAGTGTTTCCAACGCTTTTTTCTAAAACTAGACGGTAGTGGCACCTACCCGTCGCCTTGCGTTCTACACTTTATCACTTCTGAGACGGGTGCGCACACCCGTCTCAAAGCCATGCGCTCCGTTTTTCAAGAAAACTGCGAGATGGCGCTCATGTCTCACGTGTGACATGACTTGATGCGCTCGTTCGCCTCCGCTACACGCTCTAGGCACTCTAACGCAGCGCTTTCAGAATACCATTCACCAATTTTCTTGCACAGAACATCAAATAAATTGTTAACTCTCTCCACACGCAAGACTATCGTATTTCGACGACATTTGCAGATTACCATGCAGATACGGGGCCGATTTTTTATATATAGCTAGTTTAGAAGGCTAAACTGTTGTATTCTGAAGTTAGCCGCAGTTTTGTAGAAGAGGAAAGACATGTTCGTGACTCAAGTTTGTGTAAAATACTGTTAAAACAGTTCGTTACTTCCACCTGATAGACCCACCGCATTAGTGGAGTGAGAATATTCAAGGAGCCTATATTTGCGTGGGGGAGAACTTGATGTCACTGTGAACGGACTTGATGTATGCGCGGCATTCGTGAAGCAAATTCACCTTAGAGCTGCAGACACCTCAAAGGCCTTGTAGTGCAAGGCTCCAAATCATGCTGTTTATACGATGGTACGCATAACGACAGGGAACGCAGATCAAACGACTGGGCAGCTCGCGATGTTTTCTGTAAACCGCATAACTCCGCTAGCCTGTTTCGCATACCCGAAACATTGCTTTTGTTCCGTAATATAATTTCCTGCCGCAAGTTCAGTTACTGCGAACGAATCTGTACAATGGACTGCTTAAAAGCCTTAAAAGCTGTGAGTATTGCCAGAAAATAGCAGGGCACTCACTAATGCTTCACCAACTCTCCCCTTTCCCCCACAAGTATGTATATATTAGGCTAGAAGAAAAGGAAACGGGACCAACATAGGAAAAACCAAGTTTTTCCAGGTTTGATTTTATTGTGAACAGCATCCAAACAGCATCTGACCCTAATTTCATCAAAATGTCCTGCCTCCTTCGCTGGAAGCTTGTGTCCTCACAGTAGGCCTGCAATAAAGCAATAAGGCCTGCAATAAAGCAATAAGGCGAAAAGTCATACGCGGCGTGAACCACATACACGGAGTCCATACATGTTTTCTCTAGAAGCGCAAAATAAAAACTGGGTTGGCGATATCAAATCGTCTTCGTGGCTGGTTATGAAACAGAAGGACGAAAAAAAAATAAAAAACGCCGCAGCCTCTATATCCCATGGGGCGTGATTGAATGACCGGCCAAGAGCCGACTTGCTTAGTGCACATATGCTGCAACATTCTGGACCGATAGACAGAAAGAAGGACGGATGGGCAAGAACTGTAAATCTGCCGCATTTCATATTATTGAAACGAAATCTTTTTTGCAATTGTTGAGCGAGTTTCGCTGTGGTTCCGCGTACCCCATAGTAAGCCGCTTGAAACTTACTTCGGTCGCAACTGCGCAAGAGTCTACAGAGAACGCGTTCCTCGGCTCGTCTGTCTACCTCTGCAAATGCCCTTTCTCAGCGACCGAGGTGAAGGTGCATGAACGCGAACATTTGCGAGCAAAGGATGACGCGAAAGCGAGCCTTGTTTGATGGTTCACGGGCCTGGCGTTTTCCGCGATGAATGCGGCGATCGCTTCGGGAACCGGTGAAACGCAGATAGTGAATGCATGCAGGACTACACGTTCGACAAGTCATGTCATTCGCTTGGTGAACTGCGCTTCGACTGAGAGGACAAACAAGCATATTCAAGTTAACCAGTTTTCGCTCGCATAGGCTCCCGGCAATGCAGTTTTGGAGATCTGATGGTAGCGCCAGAACGCACAGCCTAGCGAGTAGGCGCAGCAAAGCAGAGCCTTTCAATGGGTAGCCTAGCGAGTAGACGCAGCAAAACCGGACTTGCCCATAGGCACCCGACAGTGGACCAGAGGGCACGACAAAGCTCTTTGGGTTGCCTCGGCATCGTTGGTACCGACCGCCAGGGATACTAAGAAAATGAAACTCTTGCTGAACACAATGACACGCTGAAGTGTCAGTGCCCTTTTTGGCACGTTTCCAAAGAACGCTTCCTGGGCGCTTACATCATCGGCTGTGACCCCCTTGCTCACAACTAAAAAAGAAAATGATATGCATGTGCAAGTTCGGTTTTGTTGCGTCTACTCACTAGCCTACGCATTGGAAGACTCAATTTTGCTGCGCCTACTCGCTAGGCTGTGTGTTCTGGCGCTGTCATCAGATCTCGTAAACTGCATTGCCGGGTGCTATAGATATTATTTTCTTTTTTAGCTGTGAGCGGGGGGGGGGGGGGGTTGAGGCTGATTATGTAAGCGCCCAGGAAGCCTTCTTCGAAAACGCGTCAGAAAAGGCATTGACACTTTATAGCGTCTAAATGTATTCAGCCAGAGTTTCATTTTCTTGGTATCCCTAGCGGTTGGTACCAACAACGCTGATGTGACCCAGAAAGTTTTGTCCCGCCCTCTGGTCCACTGTCGGGTGCCTATAACCCGCCGTAGCCGAACGAAGCCTGATCCTTTTTTTTTTCAGTGTGCAAGTTTTCGCGTTTACTTTGCACAAACTGCTTTTCGTCGCATGACCAAGTCAGCAATTTCACGAAATATGTGGTGATATACTCAACACACTCGCCATTCAACGGGTACTCACCTCATAAACACGGGGAGAAGTAGTAGGCTCCAAGCGATCCCGCTTCACTTGTGTAATCAAACGCTTCCCTTGGCTAGAGCAAGCCGGGAAGCGGGACAGCCTCCAGATGGTTTTGGATTGCGGCACGCAGCAGCCTGGCATTTACACTTCAAAGTTCTTGTGGGTGCGCTTAGCGCGAGGCTGGTGCCGTAGCGGAAGCTACGTCTATGGTGTAGTCAAACGCAGCTCATACCGCAGCTTGCACACCTGCGCCAACATGCAGCTGGTGCAGTGTGGCGGAGAAGGAACGCCTGGCCACAAGAGCCAACATGGCGCTTGTTGCCATAAAAACCGGGACTGGCAAAATTGGGTTTTAATTGGTGGCAGAAAGAGGTGGGTCAAAAACTGACAGCACCCTAAAACACGGGAACGCGCGCACATGAAGGCTTCCTAACTTCACTGTTTACTCAGAGCCACGGAACAGGCATTACTGTCTTTCATACTGTTCTACCTTTTTCTTCGAAGAGGTGCCTCAAACCAAATCATGGTGTTCAATAACAAACACGTATTCAGAACAGTGACAGCTTCATTGCGATACAAATGTGTGGCGTCACTGAGAATGACAAAAGTTAGGGACTTTGTATATTTAGCATTTTGTAACTACGGCGCATCTACTAACCTTCATAGCCTGGAGTGCGCATCCTAACAGTTTCATCTCGATTTTTCTTTGTGACCTACGACATGAATGCTTAGAGATATGGTGGGTCACAGAAAAGACATGTATCTGGTATAGGTGCCATTGGCAAATGCAAAAGGCTGACAAATTGAATATGCTTAAAACGCACTCATTTTCATACTGCCTACTGTATTAGAAACACCGTAAACAAAACTGTTCTTTTATTTTGGGGTTCTCAATTGGAAGGCCTGCAATGCCGCACGGCTTGTCTTCCAAGCTCTGAAGATTTGCTGAAAGCAAGCCAACCTACCACATGTGATGTCCAGTCTGATCGTTTTCTTGGTGGCTTGCTGAGCAAGGACGTCCCTCAGTATTGAAATTGTAGAAATGTTGTCGGATTTAAATGTTGCTTCACCCCGTCTGAAAAAAAAAGAAAGTATAGTGAGCTGTGTGATCGTCACCTACGAACGGCTTCATTGATGTACGCTCATGGTTGCCTGCCTAAAACGATGAGTACAAAATAGTGGGACATTTGTTTTCAGCTCATTTCAAACTATTTCTTAAATAGCTATATATATTTCAATAGACCAGCAGTGCGCGCTCTGCAGTGCCGCTCTAGTCCTGTTGTCAGTTCACTCCCCCCCCTCCACTCTTCGTTTTCTCGGCTACAATTGGTCAGAAAAATTAGGTCATCGATTCGTACTCAAACAATGGCAAGTGGTGTTTCATAGTGCGCTAAGCCAAAGAGTGCCAGAATATGTTGTCATGTGTAGTAAATGAAGTTTGTTAATTACAGGTTTATTCATAATCGAAAACATACAACATTGATTTATCAAGTGGTTCAATAAGAAGGGGTGATGAAAAGGTAACTGAAGGCCTGACAGAGCACCGATCCCTACCCTGGCTGTGATGCATTGAATGTCATTTATATGGCATACCATTGACTGTACGTGCTCCTAAAACCTATCACTGCAAAATGTGTAAAATGGGTATAAAAATTATGTGGTGCACTGAGCGTCTAGATAAGGTATGCACGAATGACAACGTGGCAATGACGCTAGTGCTCATGTTCCATAAAAAGTCTTGCAAGTGAGGACCCGGAGGCTTGTGCTGCGCGCTATTCTATCATGGCAACAGGAGCTCTTGAGAAAGGCTACGCTTTGAATAATAGCGATAACAAAACACCGTGCGTTTGTTTTCTGAAAACCTGTACATTTTGCCTGCGCCAACTACTGGCCAGTGTCTGACTAACCATGTCACATGGAAATAGCTGTGTTATAACTGGGCAAGCAAAAAGTACTTCAATGGTTCAAGTTCTTCTTGCAGATATCCCAGCAGAAAAACCGAAAAGCACTGACCACATTTGTGAGAGATCGGAAGATCGTCACCAGTAAACAAGTGGTTTTCCTGGAGTGGATAAATGCGGAAAAATGAACGTGCGAATCGCAAGTGGCCAGGCGTAGACACATTAGGACACGCAGATGCAGTGCTGGTAGAATGACGGTGAGGCGTTTCGAAGCATAAGGGTTGACAGGAGAAACAACACGAGCCACAGGACAGAGACCGCTTCTGTTCGCGCTCTTCCCTGGAGCCATCCGGGCCATATAATCACTACAGTGTAGTTCATTTTCTTTAATGAAACGCGTGGCGGCGGCAAGGCGCCACGGCGCCACGCAGTGGACGCAGACGCAATTCACATCAGTTCCACCCATTTATGAATGTTTCCGCACGTTCATTTCAAACTCCACACTTGAAAGCGGTACATCTTTCTACAGAGCAAGCCGTCGCAAACCCAAGGATACCAGTTGCTCGTGCGAGCGTGAAATTTATTCGAGTTTTGAGGTACAAAACAGCACGAGCTACAAGTGAGTAGCTAGACCTTACTGCTGTCAGGCCAGACGAATCCAGCGTCGGTCTCAAGGACTGCAAGAGCCACCGAGATGGAAGTAGACGAGGCAAGATACCCCGAACAACAATACCAAAGAAGCAAGAAGCGCTTCCGTGTGTGACGACGAAGACTTTGATAGCGTTGCAGCGGTGTATCGCAAGGAGAATTAAAAAAAGTGCTGGAGTGGAAGCTCCCGCAACGCTTTGCCAGCAAAACTGAAGCCAGCTTTCGCCACTTCCAAGATGGAGGAAACATGCTCGTTTCTGGTAGTGCTCACTTAAAGATCAAGTGGCTTTGATGTGGTAATGTAAATGCTACGTTATTTAAACGATAGATGTTAGATAAAAAGATAGGGGTTCCCGACAAAATAACAAACAGAAACGAGTGTAGGTGACTTAATCTCCAAAGAAATTTGCCTCCAATGAGAGGCTCACTAAGGAAAACTATAGTAACACTAAGACGCACTTGGAGCGCTGCGTGACCCGAAAAAGTTTCCACATTAGACTCGTCGGGCGTGCGAGGGAAACGCTCCGTCGTTTTATTGTGCTCCTTTCGGTGTTCCAGTCTTCAACGCGGTCAGCGTTCCGGCGGCGTTGCTGCCAGGTGTCCACTCGTGACTTTGCCAGCCAGCTATTTTTAGGCCTCATCCCATCGTCGTCGGCCCCTGCCGGGACCAGCGAGGGTGGCGTCAAGGCCTGCGGTGCTCCCCCTGAAGGAGCAATGCTTCAACTTCACCATCTTGGAGGGGACGGCATCCGTTGACGAGATCATAGATGGCCTCGAAGACGTCATGGGGAGTGAAGGGGTGCTGTTCCTGCAACACCTCGGAGCTTTGAAGTTCGTAGTTGCGGCTTGGTCGGCTGCACAAGCAACCAAGCTGATGGTAATTCAAGGTTTCAAGTTAAAAGGTCACAAGGTACAAGTTGAAGCAGTGGGGGCGCCAAGCGTACAAGTCAGTGTGTTCCGCCTCCCGCCATGCGTGTCAGATGACGCAGTTATTTCAGCTCTTCAGTCATACGAAAAAGTGAAGGGCATCACATTTCTTACCTTACAAAGGCATCAATCAACGTACACTGGTACCCGAATCGTCCGAATCGAGATGGCCAAGCCCGCCCCTAACTTCCTATCAATTCAAGGTCACCGCGTCATGGTCGAGTATCGCGGTATGCGCAGAGTGTGCACACGCTGCAGAAGAGAAGGTCATGTTGCGGCTATTTGCACAACACCCTTCTGTTAACAATGTGGCACCTTCGGCCATACATTTGAGGATTGTGTGTCCAAGTGTAAGCGCTGTAATGAGGACCATGCGACGAAAGATTGCTTCCGTCCCAAGTCATACGCAGACGCAGCGCAGAGGACCTCACAGTCACTGAAAGAATTCCCAGAACTTGGAGAGCCTGCTTCGAAGATAACGACCCAAATTGGAACATCTAGGCACATGGAAGTTTTGCAACGCAAAACTAAGCCGTGGCAACAGAAGATTCCAGATTATTGAGATGAAGACAGCGCAATCGACACAGAATTTCATGACGCCAAGACAGAAGACACCAGCGGCGTTGATGCCGCGTCGCCATGCACAACGAGTGACAACGACGTTTCTGCGCTGTCTGGGGACACCGCAGCGTTGTCATCTCCCACAACGTCGCCAGAGGAGCCCAGCAACGCTGTGAAGACGCCAAGTGCATCTGCTACGTCTTCATCAGAGGAACTCAAGGCCACGAAAAACGAACAATCCTCGAATTCATCAACGTTGGAGGAAGAGTCCCAGGCATCTCTGGGTGCTGGCCAATCGGGAAGATCACTCCGACCTTCCGAAACAACAAGTTCAAGTGGCGAGCTCCATGAATGGCCTCCTGTGGGCCTGGAAGGTAGCCTCAAGACGACGCCCACGAAAGAAGTAAAGACCACGTCTTCGAAGAAACCTAAATCGACTCGCACACACGCTGTACAGGCCCAAGAAGAAGTGTCCGACAAGACATCCAGACATTGTAGGAGCTTCTCACCATCACGAAAATTAAGGAGTGACAGATTTTCACAAGCCTCGCGATCGGTATCTTTGTCGACTGAAAATACGTGTTCTCCAGACAAGTTGTCTAGAGCCACAAACTCTCAGCGTCGCTCCAAGCCTGGTCGCTCAAGCAGTGGGAGTGACGTCACCACCTCCGAAACATCCAGAAAGCCCCGAGTGGATTCGCCAAACCGAGATCCATCACCTGATGCGGTTCCGGACTCAATGTTTTTTTTTAATTTGTGCTGCCCACATTTATTCTTTCCGCTTCCTGCGTCCTGTACCGTTGAAATGCTTGCTTCGCAGCCGTGCAAGGACTATGCATTTGTTGTCTGTGATGCATGCAAACTGTTTAGTATTCCATATGCTACTGTCATTCACGATGGAACCTTTATGTGCCAATTTGTGAGTTCTATGCAGTGGCGGCTAAGCCCTGCTATAGTAATTGCATCATGTGAGTTACGTTGCATGCTGCTTGTACTAATGATATTATTATTGGTGTTGCTTACTGGGTCCGTTCTATCTGTGCGCGTGAGGAAATCGCAGCGCCAGTCCTTCGAGTATCATCACATTGACATAATATACTGCCGCTTGACACATGAGAGGCCGTGGCGTCCCCTGACTCATCGTTGTTAGGAAAAAAAACGATTGTTTTGTTTCCCCCTAAATTTATTTTAAATGGAAAGGCTATCTTTCATGACTTTCAATGTTCGCGGTTTCAAGTATCTTGTAAAACAAACCTTGCGCGCGCGCTCGGGGTCGACGTGCTATTTCTGCAAGAGACCAACTTTCGAACGCGGCACGACGTCATGGCCTTCCGTACTAGATTTTTGATTAAAGCCTTCTTCTCCCTAACGCAGACGAAGTCGCGTGGCACCGGTGTCGTGTTTCTCAATCCGAGGTTCAGGCAATGTGCACATTGCCTCTTCGATGCAGAAGGCCCTGTTATTGCGGTGAACTTGTGGATAAAGGACCAGAAAATCTAATTCACCAACCTTTACGCACCAGTGAACAGGTCTTTTGTGAAAGACTGTTTAGAAGGGCCAGGTCATTCCTGCTAAATTCTGCACCGTGCCTGTTGTTAGGTGATTTCAATTGTGTTTTTGATTCAATTCGAGATGTCCTAGCTCCTAGTCAAGGACGAAGCACATTCCATTCGAAAAAGTTACAGAAAATATGTAGAGAGTTGAAGCTGGTTGATTCATGGACAACGCTTCACGGGAACACCATTGGAGCCACGCGCGTTCAGGGTACGTCTTAGAGCAGGATTGACAGAGTCTATATACCTAAAGAGCTCGTTGGAAGTTCAGAGACATGCCGTGTCATTTCTTTAGCACCTGGGCAACGCAAGCTTAGCGACCACAAGCCAGGGCCATTGACCTTGAAGGCCCAGCTGGGAAGACATTGCTCCAAGTTGTGGTGAATGGATTCATCAATTTTAAATGAAGCTTCGGTATGGGAAGTGCGCATGAATATCTATGCGTCTTTGGAAGACACGCCGCAAATTACGCCGACAGCATGGGA